AACAAGAGAAACATTAAAAATGGGCCACCCCATCCATCAACCAACAGACGAGATAGACTTCTGCAAGAATCCTGATCCAGGAACAAGAGAAACATCAAGAATGGACCACGACATCTTTCAATATAGATGTGAGATGAGTGAGATTCAGGACACAATTGGATACAATCAAGAGGTACGCAACAGATATCAAAGTGAAAATATGCCTTCAGAAAATGATGAAACTCATAACCTAGATGCCAATGGTCACACAGCACAAGCACCAATGTACTGTCCTTCAACCTCCAGAGGTCAAAGGGTGCCAATAGAACGCGAGGAAAACAAAAAATCAATAACAGAGTGGAGATCAGCTCCATTAAGTTTGTTCTTGTGGATTATTAGCTGTGGAAGTCAAAGTAAAGATTTGTAGTGGTATATTTTAAACGCCCTACTTCATAATAGACCCCTTGCATGTGAAATTAAAGCATCTCAATTTGGAGGACAAAACAAAATAATTTAATTATCATGAGAACTGGATACCTAGTGTTATATCCTCCAAATTGACCTGCATTCCGACGTGCGACAAGGGGTCTATGAGATCGTAAGACAAAACAAAACGCTAACTTACCAAGTATAACAAAATAAAGTTAAAAATTGCTATTAGAATAAGATTCATTACAAGTAATTTTGGACGGGGAAAATGGTTAATCCTAATTTTATTAAAGGCTTTACAAAGTGAATATGAATGTACAGAATAGATATTATTTCCAATCGATTGCCTCAAGGGATAATTTACATTAGCATATACCAACTTGTGTACTTCCTAAGAACGCGCGCGTTCATTGGTTAATTGGAGGTGAATATTGTACCAACAAAGTGGCATCTGCAGGCAATCGTTGAATCGGCGAATAATTGCTAAGTATGCATCGTTTAAAAAGGCAAAACTCTCGAAGTGTTCACGCTTAGAGTGTCCTCATTGTAATTATTTTAATCAAAATTGAACATTACTCTCACTTTTTATCTATTGCTTGAGTTTCCCTTTATTTTATTTTATTTTATCTTATTATTTTATTTTATTTTGAAAGATTAAAAAGCTATGCTAAATACGTTTACTGTGTCATTTAGTAACTTCAATTAACAAATAGATCAGGCTTAGCTATGTTCTGTTCTCTGATAAAACACGACTGGAGCTGTAGGACACGAAAAAAGTTATAGAAATCACGAGCCGTA